TGATGTTATTGATGAATGTCAAGAAGATAATTTAAGAATGATTTTTGATGCAGCTGAAAATAAATATATCGTGGAACAAAAACCTCTTATTGAACCATTTATTAAAGTATTAAAAAATATTTGGATGAAAATGATGATAATCACCAACATTTTGAACAAATGAAAAAACTTATGAACAGTAATGTTGAAAAAATAATTTTTTATGTAGCTGAAAATGAAGAGCTTAAATATATTGACTTTACGTCATTATATCCATATGCTCAAAAAAAGTATTAGAGTGAAGATATGTGTATATATATATATATATAACTTACCCTTCCATGTAAAAACAGATTGATGGAAAAATGTCTCGGATACAGAAGTATTAATGTATGTTTACAAATTGTATACAATCTAAAAAAATTGTTCTTTTTATTTTAAATGTTCTGAAAGATTTTACCCATGTCATCATTGTCATAATAAAGATCATTTTCGCAATAAAAAAGTCAATCCAAAAGATATTTCCTGGATAATGTGTAATTATTGTGGTTTTGAGCAAGGATTTCAACAGCATTGTATCAAGTGTAAGAAAAAGTTGGCTGATTATTTTTGTGGCAAATGTAAGGTTTACGATGATTATTCGAAAGATCCTTATCATTGTGTAAAATGTGGTGCTTGTAGAATTAAATTACATAGTTCATATCATTGTGATGCTTGTGGAATTTGTTTCGAAAAGGAAAAAGGAAAAAATCAATATCATATATGCAAAAACGAACATGTTCAATGTATGATATGTTTGGAACATACATTAACTGGAATCGGAATGTTAAAATTTGGTCACAAAATACATTTTCATTGTTTGACACAATTATTATTACAAGGATTTTCTAACTGTCCGATATGTAGAACTGATTTATTAACACCAACAGCCATCCCATCAATTAAGCGAGCATCTTTAAGAACCGTGTCTGGTACAACCTGATACTACCCTTCTTAAAATACAAAAACATGAATTTTTTATTATATGAGGTATTATATGAAGTATTAGATGAAGTATTTACAAATTGATGTATATAAACGAATTTTAAGACATTTTTCTAAAAAAATACTCCATTGTGTTGTTTAAATTAATTTCTTGGTTGAGTTCTTTTAATTTATCAAGTAATTTTTTTCTTCTCTCAAATAGATCAATTAAAAAATTTGCTTCTTCCTATTTTTACATATGATATTTCCTTTTATAAGTGAATAAAATTGTCTATTAACACAATTTTGACCAGTGTTAAAAGATAACATATTACAAGAGTATTCAGGATTTTTTCCGATTTCGTTGTTGTATTCTTCAAGTTTTTTTTTGGTCGGACGTCCTCTCTTTTTTATACTTTCAGTAGCATCCATTAATTGTCTTTTTTTTCCTAACCATTCATTAACATTATGAGGAGGACTTGTAAATACTAGATTGGGATGAGCAAATACTTGATCTTGATTCATTTGTTCAGGAGGAGGAGATGTATTTCCTTGATTTTGATTCATAGTATTATTATTAGGAGGAGGAGTTGTAAATCCTTGATGTTGATTAAATTCAACGTCTTCAAGTTCTCTTAAAATAGTGCGCGGTGTCGGGATATTGTAATTTAAGAAAGACATCGTGGTTGGTGACATCATACTTGTAGTTGAGATTGGAGACATGATATTAATAAGAGTTGTAGTTTTTTTAGTAGGAGAATTTTTTGTTGAATATACATTATTAATTATGGGTAAAGGAGATGATTTTTGAATATTGTCATGATAAGTATTCAAAGGGCTTTTACCAACACTCTTTTCTACTATATCTTCATCCATGGGTTGTGGAGAATCTGGTGATGATGATGATGCACGATTTTGATTTTCGATACAACTTGTCTCAGAATTTGTCTCGATATTTGTCTCAGTATTTGTCCAATTCGGTATGGGTGTTTGTAGAGAAGCATATTCATTATTCTCTTGAAATTGATTTTCTTCTTGAAATTGATTTTCTTCTTGATTTTCTTTTCCTTTTATTTTTTTTTCTTTATTTCTTTTTATAAAAATATCGAAGCGATTTTTGTTTCTTTTATCTTTCAAATAAAGTAGAAAATCTTCATATGACACGTTTGATGCCATTTTTTCTTTATAATAAAGAAATTTTTAACGAGCAAGCTCTTATATACTACTGGAATTTGATATAAAAATTGTATTTCCTTTCAATTAATTTATTTATGGTATGATTACCCTTGGTGAACTTGCTACATACCATTGATTGTACTTGGTACAATCTGATACTATTTTTTGTTTAAATTTAGAATATAACCTCGACTTTTCAAGTTGATTGACATTACTGAGTGTCTAGAAGTTACTAATTGAGATGCTTTGCATTTTTTGACGTTAATGAAGAATTACTACATGTTTTTATTACTATATATGGTCATTATATGTATAATAATCTTGAACGCTTCACATTTGCATTGCTTAAATTTTTTGGTTTTTTTAATACAATATTTGTAAGAAATTTGCTTTTTTTGCAAAAAATTCATTTACTGCGCATATATAAAAGACCTGTTGTTTGAAATTGTATGCATTGAAGAACTAACGTGTTATATATTTGTTAAATTTGTTTTATAAAATGGAATCACAAGGATCAAACGCAAACACATCACACGCTTCAACTCCAAATACATCTGAAGATGAAAGTCCAAACACATTGCATTGGCTCAAAAGAAAATTTTATTATATAGCTGATGATGATGATGATGTAAACATCGAACTTAGCGAAAATTATAAAAAGATTGCCAAATTTATAGAACAAATACTTGACTTGCAGAGTGAATTAGATGAAACGAAAGAGAAGCTAACGCAAAATGAAGCAAAAATTAACGAATTTTCAAAAGAAATTCAAGCTTTAAAAGATGAATTGAAAAAAAAGAAAGAGCAAAATGAAGCAGACCATCTTGAATATTTAAAAGATGTTCGATATTTACAAGATGAATGCGATTGTTTAAACAATTCGTTAACTGATTATGAAATAATAAAAGAAAATACCCAAGTAAAGTTAATATTAGCACAAGCTAAGTTGGATGAAGAACTTCAAAGTGATGAAATATAATTCATATAAAATTTAATATAACTCATCAAGAATTTTGTTCAAACGATTAATGTGCAGTTGTTTTTCATCTTCGGATATGTCAACATCTAAAAAAATAAATTCTAAATAATCTTTAGACTTTCTTATTACATTTTCCTTTTTTCTTCTTTCTTCTTCTTTTTGTTTTTTATTTAGTTCATTTAATTTTATATCGTGTTCTAATTGTCTTTGTGTTGATATGACGACTTCTTCAAATTTAATTGACTCTTTTTCAATAAACTCTATCATCTCATCGAAAAATTCTTTCCAAATATGACTGTATATTTTCATATATTTTCTATTCCGTTGTTTATTTTTTCTTGCCGCCTTTTGCATCGTAATACTCTTTCTTTTGGCATTTTCCCATCTTTTCTTTGTTTGCTTTCACCGTTTTTTTCTCACTGCCTTCGCGATAAGTGTATGATTGCAATTGAAGCAAACGAAATAAATGCTTGAATTTTATAGATCAAATTTTTGCGCAAATATAAAATTTTGACCTCACAAACATACTGTTGTTGCGTTTACTTGTTTCACATATGTTAAAACTTGCGATTTTTGTCATAACATAAACCGCATCGAGTATTCAATACATCGAGTATTCAATACAAAACTTATATTTTTGATTTTGTTGAAGCTAACAGTATCAGAATCCATCATCACCCATAAGATAATTGCTTAATAGATGTGATGACAGCAAATGGATTTTGTTTCAGTTATTATTAGTGTTGTCTAAAATTTACATAATTCTGTTTTGAATTTATTTGTAAAAAAATTGTTTCTTTATATATTAAAACTTGCGTTTTTTTGTCACAACACAAACTTCATCGATTGTTGGTAGTTGAAGGTTAAAGTGTGTTTTGTAACTCGTATATCATAATGACTTTGACACCAAACGGAGATTGGTACAATATAATACATGATAAGATATATAAATGTAAAGATCGCATCGACACCCTCAAGGAATTTATAGAAGACATATTAGAGATGATGCACTCTGAATTAAAAGAACAAAATTACGATCAAGTTAAAGTTCATCAATATTTTCGGGTGTGTAAAGTTGAAATCAAAGCAATCAAAGAATTACAAAAAGAACGCGAAAATCTGATAATGTTGTACAGAAAGTGTTAGAATTTTACTAAATTTTAATACAAATCTTATATTTCAATTTTGTTGAAGATAATAGCTTAATAAATGTGATGACAGCAATGGAAGATAACTTTATAATAAATGTGACGATAGCAAACGGACTTTGTTTGAGATATTATTAGTATTCTGTTTTGAATTTAGGTGTGATTCTATGTATTAAACACGCGATTTTTATTATAAGACAAATCGCTTTGTTTATTAAATACATTAAAGTTGTGAAAATAAATTTTTGCATCTTTGTTTAATGCAAAATGCATATTTTCGATTTTGTTGAAGTCAGTGTCAGATTGTACCAGTCACAGGTATTGAAGATAATTACTTAATAGACGTGATGACACCAAACGGATTTTGTTTGAGATATTATTAGTATTCTCTCGAGTTTATGCAATTCTGTTTTGAATTTAGGTGTGATTCTATGTACTAAAACTAGCGATTTTTGTCACAACACAAATCGCTTTGATTATTAAATATATTAAAGAGGTAAAACAATTTTTGTACCTTGCTTTAATACAAAACGTTCATTTTCGATTCTGTTGAAGTCAGTGTCAGATTGTACCAGTCACAGATGTTTAATTGATATTTAATTGATATGATGACAGTAAATGGGATTGTTTGTGTTCTCGAATGTTCAAGGGCAACTAGCAAACAAAGACACTGTGTACTGAGATGTAGATACGAACGTTCAAGGTGAAACGGAAACAAAGGGTGTTTTGTTGTAACGAGAGTATTTAAGAACGCGTAAATATCACAACTGCATCGAAGTTTCTCAACCTCTGTTGAAGTTATCTTGTTGGAAATCGGTTGGAATCTTGTTGGAAATCGTTAACCTCTCGCTATTTGTTGAGGAAAAACTTGTGCAGGTAAGAATTTAATATCATTTGCTTTTATTTACGAGCTAATTTTTTAATACCACATTTGCATTAACGCTTTTCTAGTTACGCTAAAGTCTGTTTATTTTAGACCCTTTCAAACACAATTGTAAAGATTATATGCTGTTTGAAATAAATGTAAGAATTTAATACTGTCTGCTTTTATTTTACGAGCTGTTTTTTTTTATACCACAATTGCATTAACCCTTTTCTAGTTACGCTAAAGCCTGACTTCCAAAGATTATTGTAAAGACTATACGCTGTTTAAATTAAAGGTAAGAATTTAATACTATCTGCTTTTATTTACGAACCAATTTCTTAATATCACAATTGCATTAACGCTTCTCTAGCTACACTAAAGTCTGTTTATTTGAAGGAGTATTCGTTGTTTGAAATAAAGGTAAAAATTTAATATTATTTGCTTTTACTTATGAAGTATGATATTATTTATGGCAAAAATTAAAGATGATCACACGGTATAGAAAACGATTAATGGATCATTTGAAAGAGTATTTGCGTCATACTGATGAAATAACATACTGGGTTTTTATTATAAAATGTTATTGTAAAGACGTATATCAACTACCCACAGAATTTTAATGCCGATGAAAAACAATTTATTATAAAAGTTAGACAATATGAAAAGAACTTTCATGATATTAAAGATCTAGATAAAGTTTTAAATATTTTTATTTGCATAATCCAGAGAATCAGGGTACGGGTTTTAAAAAAGTATAAGAGATTTTTATGTTAATTTTTTGCTAGGAAAAAATTATGGGATATTTCGAAAAAGTAGAGTTATGATCTTATTTAAAGAACTATGCGAAAGTAAATTTCAGAACTGTCAAAAGTGCTATTATTGTGTAAGGGTCAAGTTAACCTTAGCAAAATTAATACTGGACTATATTGAAGCTGATTTCTTTCATTTTATTCGTGGAAAGATACAAAGAAAGGACCATTTTTGAATTAAAGACAAATTTCTATTAAAAATATTGAAAAAAGGAAATATGGATTGTACTTTATTAAACCCGAATGGTTTGTTGAATTAAATTTATACGGATTTAAAAAAAGAGGGAAATAATGATATTGAAGAAGAAGATTATTATATGGAAGAAATATGACAATGATAAAATTGATTTTAATAAAAAGAAAGGTCAGAAAAGAAAATTAATATCTGACAAAAAAGCTATGAAGCGAGTTAAACTAAATTAATGATACTTTTTTTTTATTAGTAATTTTTTGGAAATTGAATAATGGAAAAACATTATATCAAAAGTCATGTGCTGTTATAGATCATAATGGTTATATTTTTTGTCGTGTAGGACATTTTGGTGGACATACTTGTAATTTTTATTATAATCAATATAAACCCAGAGTTGATATTAACTCTAGCTATAAAATGTATATAAATGAATATGCTATTAAAAATCAATTGTTTCATTTTTAAATGGTTTTTTAATTTTTATTGTTTTTATTAGTATTTCTTGGCAGATAACATAGTGACAAAGAAATTGGTTATATTTGATACCGTTTTTTGTGCATTTTACCCATTACATAACCTCGAAAAAATTAACGTTTATAATAAATTTATTTTAAAGTTTAACGATATGAATTTTTTATCTATTCAAGTATTTGCCATTTTATCGAAGGAATATCCTGGACACCCATTGTTATATCCGTTGCATTTTGTATGCAGTTATTTATTAAAATTGAAAAGAACCCCATCGCTAATGAAAGTGCTTAAAATTAAACCAACTGTAGAAGATTTAAAATATTCGCTTTATTTTAAATCTTTTTCAAATGATGAAAAATTCAAAGCTGTCTACAAAAATGTAGATTTTATTGAATTTGTATATGGAACAGTAGGGATAATACGTTGTTGGGAGTATGAAAATACCGAACATCTTTATTTAATTCCGACTTATTGGTTACCTAAAGTTTATATGCAACATAAAAATTATTATTTAATGAAAATTTTTGTTGCAGATATCATTATTTTAATGTGTAGATAAACGAATAGAATTTTATATGATTATTTCAACATTTATTTGCATGATTCTCAGGTTGTAAAAAAAGATAGTTTTCATTTAGATTTAGAGTGTAATACGTTATATAGATATTTTTTTGAATATGTTAGTGATGTAAAAATTTATATATCTTGTAAAAAATTTTTTAATACAATTGAAAAAATTAAATTGAAAAATGTAAATAAAGATGTAATTTATAATTTTTTAATGGAAAACGAAATTTATACGGATTATGCACGACATATATTATCTTGTAAATATTGTAATATATTGTTTCATGATTTTATAACTTTACTTGTTATAAAATGTAAACAATTAGAAAAACCTAATTTTACATTAACAACACGTAGTTATTTAACATTTGAACAATTGGGATTAATATTTGATAGAGATCCTAATTTTCATACGTCAACTTGTGATGATATTTTATTTATTTAAAAAAAAATGGTCTTGATAGATACGAATTATTTTTTTCAAATTATAATGGAATTAATTAATTAAATACAAATTTTCTATTTTTTCTATTTTCATTCATCATTGTCTTTAAATATCCAGTTCCCTTTTGTTTTATTTTTTTTATTGATCCTCTTATACAATAATTTCTCCTTTTTCTTTTCCTTTTACACATTTTTTGTTTCACCAGAAAACAATTATTCCTTATTAATTTATTAACAACTCCACCGGTTATAGCTGGAACACTTCCCTTTAATGCCAATCCTGCTAGTCCACCAATAATTCCTCCTTTTTGTGCTTTTTTCCTATATTTTCTTTTTTTATTTCTTTTTCGTTTTCTTTTATACATTTTTTTATTTTTATTTTTAAAAAAAGAATAAATAAGTAAAATAAATAGTAAGCAAATTCAATAAATATATGCATAGAAAGCAATATCTGTTTATTTATGCAGAAGTAATACAATTGTTATAACATATATATAGATTTTTTTACAAAATCACATTTTAAATTTCTGAAATAATACTTTTAAAATTACAAAAAAATGGGGAGACGTCAAAGAGGAGCACGACGACAAAAAGGAGGATTTATTAAGTTTTCTAAAATTCGCAACACACTTAAATCTGGATTTAAAAAAGCATTAAGTAAAAAACATTTAGCTTTAAAATCTGCAAAAGCTGCCAGAGCTATAGCAAAATCAGGAATACTGGGTTGTAAAGCAAAAAAATTTGTAAATTCACCCTTAATGGATAAAGCATTTGAAATTGCAAATAATCAATTGGGTAAAGGTGCATATAGAGGGCAAATGTATGTAAGGGGTAAAAGAAGAAGAGGTCAAAAAGGCGGAATATTACCATTGTTAGCACCAATATTGGGGTCAATTTTTTACTTGAAATCAATTTGTGTACTTAATTAATTAATGAAAAAAAACATTTATGTAAAAATATATTTTTATTCAACAAAAAAATATTATTTATTTACAAAATATTTTACTTTTTTACTTTTTTTTCCAATATTCTTTACCATAATTAGTAAATATTTCTTGGTGTGGTTTAATGTTTTTTGATGATTTTAAGAAATAATTAAATTTTTTTCCAAGTAAAAACGAGTTGTTTTTAAAGCGTGAGCCTCGAGCATCATTGGCATATCTTGGTGCGCCATCAGTTGTTTCATTAGCATCAACACATTTTCCTTTATCGCAAATTGCATATTCTGCTAAACCATCACCATATTTTCTTATTACTTGACTTGAGGTAAGATGGCTTCCAGAATAATTTGCAATTTTTTTGTTTTTCGGAATTGTTTTTTTGTATGCAAATAATCCTTTACCCCCGTTTGAAATGTTTGAAGTTTTAATTCTTAAATTAAATTTTTTTCCCAAGTGAATCCAACATAAATTGGTCATTGAAGTTTTTTTTCGACATCTTACATTTTTTAAGGTAATTCCATCACATTGTTGTACTTTTCGTATACTTTGTTTCATTTTTTAGTAAATTAATCGTATTCCAGCATAAAGTTCAATAGTTGTTTCAATATATTCAATTAATTTCTCAATTTTAAACATATATCAGAATGATTTGACTCGAAATTATATATTTCTTTTTTTAAAAAAAGAAAATTCTTTTTTAATGAATTGACATCATAATACCTTACAGAATTATCATCATTATCATCTGATTTCCAATCTTGAATTGATTGTTGAAACAAGAAAGGTGAGAATAAAATACATTTATCATTATCCAGTATTTGATAGGTACAATTATTACTTGCTCTTTCATTATTTTTTATTTTTTATTTTTCATTTTCATTTAAGAATAAATGAACTTCTATGTAACATAGTGTTTCTCCAGACATTTTATTAATTAATTTTAGCAATGGGTAATTCTATGTGTAAACCATCCAACGATACACCGCTTATAAAATTAAATCTAAACTGCATGTGTATAAAAGGTTCCGAAAATGAAATTGATTATCATGATAATGTAGACGGTGAAGAAAAAATAAAAGATAAAGAAAAAAATAAAGAAAAAAAATAAAAAAGAAAAAGCCAAACCATGTCAAAACGGAAAAATGAAGAAATTGAAGAAGAAAGAAGAAAAAAAATTAAAATTATTTCGAATGATGAAATAAAGAAAATAGTTAGTATATTTCATTCAAAAATTGGTGAAAAAACTGAATACATCAAAAAAAATATAAAATTAATTGATTTACAATATAAAAATACCATTTTTACATTAAATGGTGAAGTTAAGGATCACATATATCAAATTTTTATAAAAAAAAAACAATTTCAACAATTTACCAGATTTTTTGAAACAATTTTCAAAAATATTACAATATTTGCTCAATATAGCAAAATTATCTGTAAGTTCTGAGAATGATAAATAATGACTGGGAAACTAATGTATGTATTATGATTGTTCCACATCAATATAAAAATGAGAAAATCTCATTTAGGAAAAAAAGACCAATTCGGAAAAACAAAACAAAAAACTTATTTATAATTTAAATCCTGATGATGATAGTAGGGGTGGTGGTAAAACAAATCGTCCAGTATTGAAACATCAAAGAGAAGTTAGAAATGGTATATTGCAAATTAAGTGTGACAAATTGCAAGCTCAAGTTAAGAATTGTTGTTTTGCTGTGGCTGTATTAGTTGGAAAAATGTTTATTAATAATGATGAGAATCTAAATATTTTTAAAAAAAATTTAAATAAACAGTTAATGAAATAATGACTGTAGACGAAGTTAAATCATTTTATAAAGAAGCTAAATTATCAGAAGGAAGTGTTGCCATTAACCAATTAAATTTAGTTTACGAAAACTACTTAAAAAAAGATAATTTTCATTTGGTGATTTTTTCTAAAGATAAATTAGATACAATAATTTATAACTCAAGAGTGAGTAATCATGATTCCTTTCACATAAGTGATAAAATTATTTTTTTATGGTTAAATGATTCCCACTATGATTTAATCTTAAATCCTAAACTTTTTTCTAATTTAAAATTGGATTTATTTTGCTTTAAATGCATGCATTATTTAAAATTTGACGAGTATGCAGATTCTCATATTTGTAAAAATGAAGACACATGTTTAAAATGTTATTCAAACTGTGAAAAAGAAGCAAATTTTTCTATTCAATGCACCGAATGTAATATAATTTTTAAATCATCAGATTGTTTCCGTAAACATTTGTTTAATAAATTGTTTAAAAATAAGAATAGTATTGAAGTCACACCATGTCAAAAATTTTTTTTTGTAATACATGTAATAAAATTGTTCCAAGATTTTCCTTTGGTAAAAAAAGTAAGGTTGTTTTACATGATTGTCAAAAAAACATATTGTGCTCATTGTAGAAAATATTTGGAGAAACAACATAAATGTCATATTAAACCCTTAGAATTTAATAGGTATAAGTCTACACCAACGTTATTTTTCTTTGATTTTGAAACAAAAACAGATGAAAATAATTTAATGATACCATTCTATTGTGTTGT